AGGAACCCTAAGAGGCGTCATCATAGCGTCCTAGTTCCAAGACTAGTCATCATTACACCTTTATGACAACACGTGGCTCGATGCAAGTGCAACACGCTAACCCTTTAAGATCCAATCAACTATTCACCCCCTCGTTAGACGGGCACACCAAGCATCGCTCAAACTTCTTGTGCATAGTTGCCCACGAAACGTCCCCCATCACGAGCATATCTTAAGTCGTCACTCCTCTAACCAAAAGCAATGACTTGGGGGAGCTCCTGTTCTGGACTAGCCTAATAACTAGAATTGGCCTAATCTACTTCCACCTCCAACATGGTCCAATAACTCTGGTCCATCATCTCTGGTCCTCCGTCGGGCACGCTTGGTCGATCGCTCCCCAAGCGCAGCAACGCCAGCAGACCTCGAGCCTTACACCTGGCCCTAACGACATCTTCCTTCCTGACATGCTCGTTACATGCTGAGCAGACAACCAGACTAGCGCTCATAACGCATTTGTCTGTCATCTCATCCTTGCTCGGAGCAACGACTAGTTACGGGTACAACAACCCGTTTTGACCAAGTCTTGACAATTACTTATTTTAGCGGACCCGAATATTCAGGCCCGAAAATAGGAACCAATTGCTATGCGTCGGAGGCATTATATAAATTCTCACACTTATGAGGACCAGTTATCCAATATTGACTCTAAAAATCCTAATCTCTTTCTTGTATCTCTTTGAGCTCCTACTGACTTTAGCATCAGAGTGTCTTGCAGGTACACTGTCTCCTTTCCTCATATTTCCAACCAAGTACACTTCATCATCAAGACCCACCTTCAAATTCTGATCAACCGATAAGATCAATTCATTTTTAAAATTTGCCCTATTTTACAATTATTTTTATATCGAAAATACACTTCTAAAATATTCTCAAAAATGTATTTCCGATAAAACCTTAAAATTGAAAAAACAAACCAAAAGCACTATTTCTAGAAACTAATACACCACATTAGTCTTGCATAATTCAAAAATATATTTTTTCAATCTTTCGTTTGAATTTCTACTCATGGAGATTTATATGAAGTGTGATATATAGTTTGGGTTTGTTTTTTCAATTTTAAGGTTTTACTAGAAATACATTTCTTTGAATATTTCCAAAGTATATTTTTGATATAAAATTCATTGTAAAATAAAACAAATCTCAAAAACAAATAAATTATATGTGTGAGTATGTACTAAAAATATATTTTTGATTTTTCAAAAACATTTTTAAAATTATAAAGAGTGTTTTTCAATCCTATAAAGTAGAATATGAAATCCTTAAAAAACAAATATCACCAAGTGAAACAGAGCTTTTAAATTCCTTCTATGCTATTCCACATTCCACTTCACTCAATTTTATTCCATGTCCATTGTTTTATAACTTGTTTTAAAAAAGTAACATTAGCGCTGTGGCAAAAGTAAAGTCAACCAGTATAAGAATTAAACTGAGATTCGTTACCAAACACACAAGTGTATTGTCAGCTTCCGTTCCAACAATCCAACGCAACTGAAAGTTACATCCAAACTCCAAACATCTACCACCACACAAAAATGGGTAACGCGCACCGACGTCACCCCAAACACCGTTTTCCCCTCCCTCACAACACGGTTCCTACTCCTCCATATAAATGCCCTACCTCTCATCCTCCTCATAATCTACCAAACCAAAACCAAGGTGGTTCCTATTCCAACACCAACATGATCTCTTTACCTTACGCCAACGCCGACGCCACTCTCCGTTCTCTCGCCGCTCAAGCTGAAGGCTACGGCCGCTTCGCAATCGGCGGACTCCATGGTTCTCTTTATCATGTTACATCACTCTTAGGTTTGTTTACTTTGTTATTTCTTAAAGATATTTTTGTTGGAACATTGATGGATTGGGTTGTTAATTGTTATGGATGCAGATGATGGACCGGGATCATTGCGTGAGGCTTGTCGTCGAAAGGAACCTTTGTGGATTGTGTTTGAGGTTTCGGGTACAATTCATCTTTTGTCTTATTTGAGTGTGTCGTCTTACAAGACGGTTGATGGGAGGGGGCAAAGGATTAAGCTGGCTGGAAAGGGTTTTAAGCTGAAGCAATGTGAACATGTGATCATTTGTAATTTGGAGGTTCAAGGAGGTAGAGGACATGATGTTGATGCTATTCAGATCAAACCTAATTCTAAACATATATGGATTGATCGTTGCTCTTTGAGTGATTGTGAAGACGGCCTCATAGATATCACTCGAGGAAGCACTGAAATTACTATTTCAAGGTGAGCTGGTTTCAATTTTGATTGCCTGTAGTCTGGAATTCGTTGTCACGCAATTTAAATTAATATACGATCTTTACGTGATAGTTGGAATTGCATGACTAAATCAAAATATGTAGTAGCATTGAAGGTGTGGCTGGTGTCTGACACCGAGTCATATAGTTTACATTAAATAATTTTTCAAACTATTATTAGATTCTATGTAATTGTGTCGTGTCTGGTATCTATGTTTGTGTTTGTGTTTCATGGCTTTTAAACGTATGATCCTCAAACTAGATGGGGTGTGGATTGAAATTGGATTGTTTGTATAGACTAATTTATGTAAGCCTTCTATTGAAAAAGTTTTGATTTCCTTTTTCAGGTGTCATTTTCATAATCATGACAAAACAATACTCATTGGATCAGATCCCTCACATGTTGATGATAGATGCATAAAGGTCACCATACACCACTGTTTTTTCAACGGTACTCGACAGAGGCATCCTCGTGTTAGGTTTGCCAAAGTACATTTGTACAATAATTACAGCAGAAACTGGGGCATATATGCTGTTTGTGCAAGTGTGGAATCCCAGGTGATTATGCGTTCATTGATTGAAATTTGAAATTGATTTTAGAATGAATTTCAAAACAGGTTTTGATTGATCTCCAAATTTATCATTTTGGTTGTGTGTTGATACTAGATATTCTCTCAACATAATATCTATGAAGCTGGCCAGAAGAAGATTGCTTTTAAGTATCTTCATGAGAAGGTTTGTCTACCTCTTACATTTAGTGCCCGAGTTATATTTACCTTTGCGATAATTATTTTGGCTTTTCATCTGAGTAAATAATAAGAACATTGAATTGGACATCTCTCTGCAGGCAGCAGACAAGGAATGTGAAGCAACTGGTCACATAATCTCTGAAGGAGACTTATTTTTAAATGGTGCTCAACCAGGGTTGATGACAGAGAATGTTGGGGTTAAAGTGTTTCATCCGAGTGAACACTATCTCACATGGACAGTGGAACCTCCAACAGAAGATCTAAAGCAAGTTCTTCAACACTGCACTGGATGGCAATCTGTTGCGCGGCCAGCGGATCAAACCGTTCGCGCAGAATAGAAGCTAAAGCGTTTGCATACATACACTTACCACTGTAAACTAAACTGATTGATTTCCTTGCCCCAAATTTAGTTCATAGTTCATGTGTATATAATATAACATAAGTAACTGTGCACTCAGCATGGTTTACTAGGGTTTTACACTTTATAATAATAATAATAATAATAATAATAATAATAGCGGAGGCGGAGTAGCAGGAGTAGTAGCAGGAGTAGTAGCTGGAGCAGCAGCGTAGCGTAATTCTGGTTATTTTTAACATCAATCTAATGTCTAAAATTAGGGTGGAGCTATCCACACCAAACATCCCTAAATCTTCTTTCTAATAGAATAGTATAGATGCCTTTTTTTTCTGTCTCAAACCCCATAATTGTGAGTTTTAGGTTATCTTTGGATATGAAAAGGAGCGGAATGGAGCGAAGCTTAATGAATATTCCATTTCATCATATGGAATGGAATTTGTATCACTTCATTCTATTCCGCTTCATCCAATTTTAAATAATCTAAACAGTAAAATATCACTTTGTACCAGTATGTTTGTGGAAGATTCATTGGGGGCAGTGTAAGATACACCAAGGGCAGGCGGATACTGCTCGTCGCCTCAGAACTGGGCTATTAGTTGCTTGTTTATTGACTCGTGCCCCATTTATCATAACGTGCGCCCATCCTCTGGAATATTAGTCCATTTATGAAAATGTAGGGAATGATGTGTCTTTGTCTCTCATAACAGTAATGTGATGTAGTCCAAGAAGTATGTCACGTTCTCTAAAATCATAAAATCACAAGGTAATAATGGCTCCACTTCCTACGCTTTCCCACGCTTCTAAGAGAGAACACTTTATTTATTTTCATGGGTCTTAATATATAGGCCTAAGGGATTTCTATATAGACATCAACCGTTAAGTTGCTGATGGACATTCAATTCACTTAGAAAATACCAACATATATAACTTTTCATCATTCCTACGTAAGTTTGTTCTAGTACCACAACAACCTTAAATTTTTTAGGACCATTTCTATGTATGTTTGTTTACATCCTTAGAATTTTTTGAAAACTCTATACAATTAGGGGTTGTCACTCATTATACTTTTTAGGATAAGTCGATACATAGGAGCATATGTCGATACATGCTGTGTGTTAGACTCAGGATGAGTCGATACAAGAGAGGATGCGCCGACTCATGTTGCGAGTTCAACACAGTACGCGTCGATCCATGGAGTTTTGCATTGACCCATGTCTGTTTTTTTGGCAGAATCGTTTTGAAGATGCTGTAACTTGAGTTTTCGGACTCCGTTTGAGGTGTCGTTCGAAGCGTTGAATAGTTAACGCGATGAGCTTTATTCTTGAGGATTAAAATGAAGAATAGGAAGTGTGATCCTAGTAGCCAATTTAGGATTTAGAGTTAGTTTCCGTGTTGATCGTTATGTTGGTTTTTTGTGTAGAATGATGAAGATGAGATGCTTAGAGGTTGCTGTTTGATTTGTAACAGTAGGATTAATAATAATAATGTAAGATTACAGAATAGCAGTATGTAGAGGTTTGGTGACTTAGAAGTAAGCCTTAGTTGATTAACTAATTATATGTAATATTTTGTATAGGTCTATGGCCAACGTTGTAAAATTGATGAGTTACTGTCGTATTAAAGTACAACTGAGTTGATGAGATGTTATCAATGAAGTTGTGTTTGATGAATAAATGATGTTTGATGAATTATTATGAATGATATGAGATGTAGATGAAGAGATGTTGAGATGCTTTTGAGATGTAGGCTTTTGGTCAACGATGGTGTTGTATTGAGATGTTGTCAATTGTGGTGTTGTTATTACATTCATGATTGTGTCGCATACATTGCATTTTGAGATGGAGCTTATGCTCGTTGAGATGACCTGAATTGGCGAATATTGAGATGAAGACTTATGTCTTATTGATGTCTATATTAATTGGCAAATTTTTGAGATGGGAGTTCTGCTCCAATGGTACCACATGCATTTACATAGTATTGAGTCGTATTATTTGATTGCATAAAGAAGTTGTGTATTGATGTTGTGAATGTGTATTATCGTTGCAAATATTGTTGATTTTGAGATGAGAAGTGGTGATGCTATGTGATCTAATTTAATATATTAATTATCATGCGTTTTATTATATTGTTAGATATCTCACCCTTCTGTTTGAATGTTACCCTTATGTTGGTAACGTGCAGGTAATCGAGAGTGAATGTTGTATACCTTCAATAGTTCGAGTCGGTGTCATTGCTCTGATATGTAACACTCAGGGGGATGAACGCTTGTTGCTTTTGTTGTTGCTTTTGATTGTTGATTATTCAGTTGTTGAACTTTAAGTTGACTATTATTAAGTAGTTATTGATTTGAAGTTGTTGTAATGATGATAAAGATGTTATTAAGAATTTCGCTGCGTAGATGTTGAATTATTTAATTAAAGTTGTTATGATGATGATTCATCCGAGGTTTTAAAGTGTTATATATCTACGATGAATGCAATGAATTTTGATAGATGAATTTGTGGCATCCCGATTCGTTTGCATGAATGATTTCTATAACTCTGATTTATTTATATAATTGTCGTGGTAGAATTGGGGTGTTACATTATCGCTCATAGAAGCGATCATTTACGTTGGATCTGTTGAGTGAGAATATGGAGATGATATGGTCTAGAAGGGGTGGGGGGTTGAATAGATCTGTCCCCTTTGAAACTAATTTCAATAACATTTATTTTTATGAAATCAGAGTTAAAATCGCGGAAGCAAAATGTAATAAGCAAAAGCAAAAACATAGGAGATGGATTAAAAAAACTATATGTTTCCTTAGTGTCATAGAAAAATGATTCAATAAATATCATCAACACTAGGAAACTTAAAATTGCTTTGACAATAAATTTAAATATAAAAACTTAGAGACAATACAATCTTAACTTAAGCAGTGAATGCTCAACGAATTAAGTGCATCTCAGACCTACACTTACATGATAAAACACTTTAAGAAAGATCTAATTCTAGACGATATTATAATGATGAACAATATCTAACATACATGATAATATTCAGAAAATTAAAAGAGATAAGGAGAGATAAATATACATTGGATATATAGTGGTTCGATAATTCTTCATCGCATTGCCTACTTCACTCTTCGATGATATTCACCATAAAAAATGGTTACGTCTTCCACTATTTTTAACGTAAAATATAGTATTTTGGTATAACAAATTCTTATCAACCTGAACACTAACAACATAATGCTTTAGCCAACACAAATCTAAAATGAAAAATTCTTATGTTGACGCAGATTACTCAACTTTTAATACTCAAGATCTTCAATGATCTTGATCCAGCAAACTTGATAGACATAATAATTCTACGTCATGCTTCAATTCTACAACATCCTTTACTCGGATATGACGAAGACATATCAGAGTGATTGTTCTAACAACGAATGATGACAACTCTCTACTTTATTCTCTTGTTTGATAAGCACCAATCAACATTGTGAATAAAAAATGGTTATTTTTCCTGATACAAACAACATTTCATTTCCAAAAGTGAAGTGAGAGTATAAGGCTTATGACTTAATCATTATTTCTTCTTTTGGTTTAGGATTAAGCATTTAGTTTATTGATCTAATATAGGCAATGCCTCTTCTCCCATTTCCACTAACTCCATAGATCATGAAAGTCATCTTGCTTATATCTATATTTTTAGCTATAAGAAATTAAAAAGAAGTTTCATACTTCTTTGAAGCACATCCAGAGTTCATAGGAGCATTGATATGAATTTCCTTTTCTAAAATATCACTCTTGATTTTGAAAGCAGAGTTTTAATTTTAAAAACTATTAATATTTCTTTTAAAATAACATTTTCTTTCATCAACTCACTATGGACTTCAGAATGAGTTACAATAATCTTTTTCAGAGTCTTGCATCTCCTATGAAGTTTCTGATTCTTTTCAAGAATTTCTGCTAAAGATGTTTCGAATTCAGAATGAGATATATGAAAAAAAAATACCTCTTTAGATTCTGAGGTTGATTCAGATTCAGATTTACAAGCTTATGCGTTAGCCATCAGTGCCATGTTCGCTTGCTCTTCTTTAGAGTCATCTTCTGATAATATATATATATATATATATATATATATGTGTGTGTGTGTGTGTGTGTGTGTGTGTGTGTGTGTGTGTGTGTGTGTGTGTGTGTGTGTGTGTGTGTGTGTGTGTGTGTGTGTGTGTGTGTGTGTGTGTGTGTGTGTGTGTGTGGTGTGCGTGTGCGTGTGTGTGTGTGTGTGTGTGTGTGTGTGTGTGTGTGTGTGTGTGTGTGTGTGTGTGTGTGTGTGTGTGTTGGGAGTTCTGCTCCAATGGTACCACATGCATTTACATAGTATTGAGTCGCATTATTTGATTGCATAAAGAAGTTGTGTATTGATGTTGTGAATGTGTATTATCGTTGCAAATATTGTTGATTTTGAGATGAGAAGTGGTGATGCTATGTGATCTAATTTAATATATTAATTATCATGCGTTTTATTATATTGTTAGATATCTCACCCTTCTGTTTGAATGTTACCCTTATGTTGGTAACGTGCAGGTAATCGAGAGTGAATGTTGTATACCTTCAATAGTTCGAGTCGGTGTCATTGCTCTGATATGTAACACTCAGGGGGATGAACGCTTGTTGCTTTTGATTGTTGATTATTCAGTTGTTGAACTTTAAGTTGACTATTATTAAGTAGTTATTGATTTGAAGTTGTTGTAATGATGATAAAGATGTTATTAAGAATTTCGCTGCGTAGATGTTGAATTATTTAATTAAAGTTGTTATGATGATGATTCATCCGAGGTTTTAAAGTGTTATATATCTACGATGAATGCAATGAATTTTGATAGATGAATTTGTGGCATCCCGATTCGTTTGCATGAATGATTTCTATAACTCTGATTTATTTATATAATTGTCGTGGTAGAATTGGGGTGTTACATTATCGCTCATAGAAGCGATCATTTACGTTGGATCTGTTGAGTGAGAATATGGAGATGATATGGTCTAGAAGGGGTGGGGGGTTGAATAGATCTGTCCCCTTTGAAACTAATTTCAATAACATTTATTTTTATGAAATCAGAGTTAAAATCGCGGAAGCAAAATGTAATAAGCAAAAGCAAAAACATAGGAGATGGATTAAAAAAACTATATGTTTCCTTAGTGTCATAGAAAAATGATTCAATAAATATCATCAACACTAGGAAACTTAAAATTGCTTTGACAATAAATTTAAATATAAAAACTTAGAGACAATACAATCTTAACTTAAGCAGTGAATGCTCAACGAATTAAGTGCATCTCAGACCTACACTTACATGATAAAACACTTTAAGAAAGATCTAATTCTAGACGATATTATAATGATGAACAATATCTAACATACATGATAATATTCAGAAAATTAAAAGAGATAAGGAGAGATAAATATACATTGGATATATAGTGGTTCGATAATTCTTCATCGCATTGCCTACTTCACTCTTCGATGATATTCACCATAAAAAATGGTTACGTCTTCCACTATTTTTAACGTAAAATATAGTATTTTGGTATAACAAATTCTTATCAACCTGAACACTAACAACATAATGCTTTAGCCAACACAAATCTAAAATGAAAAATTCTTATGTTGACGCAGATTACTCAACTTTTAATACTCAAGATCTTCAATGATCTTGATCCAGCAAACTTGATAGACATAATAATTCTACGTCATGCTTCAATTCTACAACATCCTTTACTCGGATATGACGAAGACATATCAGAGTGATTGTTCTAACAACGAATGATGACAACTCTCTACTTTATTCTCTTGTTTGATAAGCACCAATCAACATTGTGAATAAAAAATGGTTATTTTTCCTGATACAAACAACATTTCATTTCCAAAAGTGAAGTGAGAGTATAAGGCTTATGACTTAATCATTATTTCTTCTTTTGGTTTAGGATTAAGCATTTAGTTTATTGATCTAATATAGGCAATGCCTCTTCTCCCATTTCCACTAACTCCATAGATCATGAAAGTCATCTTGCTTATATCTATATTTTTAGCTATAAGAAATTAAAAAGAAGTTTCATACTTCTTTGAAGCACATCCAGAGTTCATAGGAGCATTGATATGAATTTCCTTTTCTAAAATATCACTCTTGATTTTGAAAGCAGAGTTTTAATTTTAAAAACTATTAATATTTCTTTTAAAATAACATTTTCTTTCATCAACTCACTATGGACTTCAGAATGAGTTACAATAATCTTTTTCAGAGTCTTGCATCTCCTATGAAGTTTCTGATTCTTTTCAAGAATTTCTGCTAAAGATGTTTCGAATTCAGAATGAGATATATGAAAAAAAAATACCTCTTTAGATTCTGAGGTTGATTCAGATTCAGATTTACAAGCTTATGCGTTAGCCATCAGTGCCATGTTCGCTTGCTCTTCTTTAGAGTCATCTTCTGATAATATATATATATATATATGTGTGTGTGTGTGTGTGTGTGTGTGTGTGTGTGTGTGTGTGTGTGTGTGTGTGTGTGTGTGTGTGTGTGTGTGTGTGTGTGTGTGTGTGTGTGTGTGTGTGTGTGTGTGTGTGTGTGTGTGTGTGTGTGTGTGTGTGTGTGTGTGTGTGTGTGTGTGTGTGTGTGTGTGTGTGTGTGTGTGTGTGTGTGTGTGTGTGTGTGTGCGTGTGTGTGTGTGTGTGTGTGTGTGTGTGTGTGTGTGTGTGTGTGTGTGTGTGTGTTGGGAGTTCTGCTCCAATGGTACCACATGCATTTACATAGTATTGAGTCGCATT